ACAATTGAATCCACGGGTGCTTTACAACCAACTGAGGTATATCTCCAGACCTTTTTTCTTTTTAATTTTTTGAGATAGGGTTTCACTAAGTTGCCAGCTTTGGCCTTGAACTTGAGATTGTCCTTTCTCAGGCTCCCTAAATTGCTGGGATTACAGGCATGCATCACTACCTGGCTATCCTTTCTTTGTCACAATTTCTTTACCCATTCATCCATCAATTAACACCTAGGTCAATTTCAAAACTTGGTTAATGTGAATAGCACTGTAGTAAACATGGGAGTGTAGGTATCTCTTTGATATATTGATTTTATTTCCTTTGGATATATACCTAGTAGTGGGATTGCTGAATCATGATAAATCTATTTTTAATTTTTTGAGGAACCTTTATCCTGTTTTCCATGATGGCTGTGCTAATATTAATTTACATTACCACCAATCATGTATAAGTTCCTCTTTTTCCACATAATGTCAGAATGTCTTTGTCTTTTTGATAACATTCTAACAGGTTTGAGATGCTATTTCATTGTAATTTTGAATAGCGTTTCCATACTGACTAGTGTTGAGCATTCTTTCATATACCTGTTGACTATTTGTATGTCTTCTTTTGTGAGATATCTATTCAGATCACTTCCCCAATTTTTAAGTAGGTTACTTTTGTGTTTGCAGTTGAGTTCCTTATTAATTCTGGATATTAATCTTTTATCAGATGAATAGTTTGCAGATATTTTCTCCTACTAAGGTTAAGTCTGTATTGATTGTTTCCATTGCTGTGCAGAATTTGTTTATTTTGATATAAACCATTTGTCTGTTTTTGCATTTGTTTCCTGTGCTTTACCCCCCAACTCCCCCCCGGTCTTTTTTTTTTTGCTCAAACCAGTGTCCTGAACTGTTTGTCCATATTTTCTTCTGGTAGTTTCTTCTGGTAGTTTCAAAGTTTTACTGGCCAAGTAGTTATAGAGAAGAAAAGTTCATTTGTTTTATGGTGGTGCTTTGTTAATATCCTCTTCTAGTATTCTGCATTAGAATCCTAGTGATATTGTATAAGCTGTCACATCATGTGCTGTTCTCACTGTTTTAATTTTGTGTGTTGTGGCAGCTTGTGTAATCACTAAGCACTGCATTACAGTTTTCTCCTCTGTGCCTTCCCTTTCCCAGCCCTTGCTTTTCAGGGTTAAGCAAGAAGGTTAGGCAGTGATTCGGCTCTGATGGTTGGTTCACCTGACTTTGTTGTCATATAATGTAAAATATACAGCAGAAACTGTTAAACACTGTGCTTTGACATGGTTATCTTCTTCCTTTTATGTAGTCATTAGCCTTGGAGTGCAGTATGCTGATAAGGACTTAAAGTGGAAAGTCCATTTAGAGATATGATACATATTCTCCTCTACAGTGGACATCCCTTGATAACTTCGCATTGCCTGGCACCCCCCAGATCTATAAACTTACATTTTCTTTCTCACTTCTGAAATTTTTATCATCCTGAACATTAGTCATACCTTTCTTGCCTTTGAATTTTGATGCCACTGAACAGTCAGGATAACATGGATGATTAAATTCTATACTCCTGGATGTTGGTAATCCAGGAAGTTCCAAAAAGTGAGTGAGTGAAAGAGAATTCAGTTGGGTCACAAAATCTCAGGATGCAGTGATTTCATCTCAGAATAATTCAGTCACTAAAATTTCCACAACCATTTATTTGTCAACTTTTCCGTCTCAAGGAGAATGATGCTAAGAACTTGGAAATCAGGGAGACGAGTGTGGTTGTAGGGGATTGTTCTTAAAAATATAGTGTAAGCTGAATTAAAACAGACTGAAATCATATGCATATCAGTAATGTTTAAGAAAGGTCTGCAGCCTACGTAATTAAAATTGTACCTAAACAAATATCTATAGAATCGTCATGATTTTAGAGTTAAAAGCAACTTTGCAGAGCCTTTTCTCTAACTTCTTAAATCTTAGAGATGGAACACTGAGGCCCAGAGAGGTGATCACCAGTTTTTTCCTACCCACTTGCCTATGTTGCAAGAAGGATTTTTGCAAATATTAAGTTTTAAAATTCTGGATTTTTTGCGTGAGATCTCCTTGAAGCAGGACAAACCAAATCTGTGTTTATAGATGCCATTTACTATCTTTTGGGGGGAATTTAAAAAACTTAAATGGAATGTTTGATCAAGTAGAGATTTCCTGTTTTGTTTCTTTGTATAACTCAGAAGAATAAAAGATGAGGCATTGAAATAAAATATCACTCTGCAAGTAGATCCTATTAGATCCCTGGTTTGAAAGTGACAGACTAAGCAGTAGGTAATTGGGCTGGGGATATGGCTTAAGTAGTAGCACACTCGCCTAGCATGTGTGAGGCACTGGGTTCGATCCTCAGCACCACATATAAATACAATAAAGATATTGTGTCCACCTAAAGCTAAACAATAATTAAAAAAAAAAGTAATAGGCAGTCTTAACAGTGAACTCACTTGTTTTCATTCCTCTGAGAATATCAATCAAGACAAATTAACTATTGAGAGTGCTGATTGAGTAGGGATCTCTTTTTTGGGGGGAAAAGGTTGTTTTTTTTTTTTGTGTGTGTGTGTGTGTGTGCGTGTGTGTAGAGAGAGAGAGAGGAGAGAGGAGGGCTGACACCCAACACAGGACATGCCATGCCATTGTGGGAGCAGATGGGCATCCCACAGCTTCGCTTTCCCTGGAGCACACTATAGGTCAGGTGCATTCTGGGAGATGTCACAAGACGCCTGAGAGAGTAATTGCTTAAATCTTGTTCTAAGGGCTTACCAACCTTGGAGAAGAATTGGAGGTAGGGCTAATTGCTTGTGGCTAATTACTGAGCGGGGAGTAAATTGCTGAGACAGTGCTGCTCTGAGAATCAGTAAGATGGTGCAGAACCCATGTTATTAGGCTGGTACCTTATGGTATTTATGGTTTTGAAGATGTGTGTTAGGGAGTTGTTTGTATATATAGTGTCATCTGTGGACTTAAGTGGGAATTCATTCTGCAGCTATGCAGCAACAAACGAGATTTAGTTTTATAAATAACTAGGAGACTAGGAGCAAAGTTTCTTCCTAGGAGTTGGTGAAACACCGAGGCTGATGGCTAAGCCTTGTGCCCTAAGTGATGATGACAGCTTTAGGCTCCTGAAGCCTTAAGATCTCATTTGTCCCAGTCAGGTTGCCAAGAAGAGAATAAGTGATGCATGAATTTTTTTTCTTCCAGTTTTACATGCCATCTGTGCTTTATGCTGGCTGGCCTGGCATGTTGAGTTTTCAGGTGGCCTATTCAGTTTGGTTGAGAATCTGGGGACCCTAGGTGTCCCCAGAAATACAAATTCTTCTGCCTGCCATGGTGAGTTTAGTAGACCCTTGCTTCCAGGGTACAGCCTCTCTCCCTGGCCCACTGCTGCCTTCCCTAGGCCTCAGTTATTCATAGCAACAAATATTGATGGAGCCAGTACCAGCTCTGCAGGGCCTGTAGGAGCTGAACTGTGTGCGCAGATGGCCCTGTCCTCAATCGATTTTTGGTTTGGGCGGTATCACATGCAACACATGTACATCCATAGGACAAAAGTACACATGATGGGGAGCTTAGAATGATTAGAGATCTGAAAATCAGACAGTAGACCCTATGAGAATCCAGAAGAGGTCGTATGTACCAAAAGTCATAAAGGGTGACAGTGACTTCACAGAGGGATCACTTGTACTTCGTATGGGTCCTTTAAGCAAGTGGAGAGGAGACGAAAACCTGTACCTTCTATCTGCTGGAATCGGGAAGTAAGTTTCCACAAATGTGAAGGGTACAGAGAAATGTTGTAGCAGTACATGGGGCCAGACTGAAAGCCAGGCAAGGCACTGGAATCGGGAGACTAGTTCTGCTTTTGACCTTGTCCCTGGATGTAATGTACAGTGCTCAACAACTACTTAATCTCTCTGAACTTCAGTTTTCTCATCTGAATAATTAGACTAAAGCATATCCAAGATACCTTCTGGGAGGAAAATAATCATTTTAAAGAACTGGAGGGTTTTGAATTGTGCATGAGATGCTGGATGCAAATTAATGTGTCAGGAATATCAAACTGGGCTGTGACTTGATCTGGAAGCCAAGTCTGAGCCTGGGTGTTAGGAAAGTGTGTGAATATCCAGTCCGAAAGAGAGAGATGACTTTCCTTCTGTGATCTGTGTGATCACCTGTAGGGTCATGTGTTTAACTTCTGAAAACAGTCATTTTTACAGGAGAAAGAGATACATGGAAATGATAAAGGAAACAGAATTGTAGTAGCTCAAGAAGTAGGGGAAGAGCAAAATGAGAATAGGGCCTTAGAATGCAGAAGTTCAGAGCCCCATGGAATAAGTGTCAGCCAAGTCTGAAGAGAGTTGTTATAGAGAGTCCTTTGCCTTCTTTTGGGGCCCCGTTGAGGCTGGGCTCAGGTAGAGCAGGGAGCCTGCAGAGTTCATCTGCTAAGAGATCAGAAGACATTATGTGTATTCAGTCAGTATTTAATGAGTGAAAGAAGGAATGAAGAAGGCACTGTGACCCAGGGAGGTGACTGTACCTGTGGTGAGCAAGCACCCAGTCTCCCAGGGACATGGCCTGTCATCTCCATTTTTCACTTTCCAGGCCTCTTTGCCCCCAGATTGCTTCCCTTATCTCTAGCTAATCCCCTCCCATGGGTGTATGGAAGAGCATGCCTTCAGGCCTCTCCTGTGGCACCACACAGCATCAGCACCTGAGCACGAGGCTAACAAGTGACTATAGGTAGGAAACTGAATCAGCTTAAAAAAAAAAAAATGCCCCGCCCCGCTGCCAAAAAAAAAAAAAAAAATGACTGTTTTCCACACACTTTCAACATCTCTGACACCACAAGTGGGAGTTTCTCAATGCCAACCAGTTCTCCATCTCTTACCAGATGTCGCATGCTTTGTTATATCACAGTATCACTCAGCTCTTCCTACTAGACAGACACGTTGGCTGCCCTATGAGGACTCTAGTTTTATATACATGATAAGTAGGTTTTGGGTCACTCTAGTAAACTGAGCCATTCTGGGAATTTTTAACTTTCTACTGTGATTATGTAGAGAATGGCTGTCACACCAACAGAAATATGCTACCTGGCTGGTCCCTTGTGAGAACCAATGAGGTGATGTTTGTGTAAAGCTCAATGGTCAGACAGCTTCACTCGGGAGGTGCTATGTAAATCAGGAGGCTTATGATGGCACCCAAAGACAGAATCCTGCCCAGACCTGCAAACGGTGTTCCCCCAATTAAGTCCTCACTTCACATCCCATAAAAAGCAGAGAACGATGGGCTCACCCCAAGGAATCTTTTTCTTCTATAAAGTTATTTGATAAAAGTGTAAAACATTAGTGCACATACTGTTTTCCTTATTGTAAAACACTTCTAAAACTGTTTCACCTTTCAAGGGTTAAAATGGGAACTGAGTTGATTATGAAATAGCTCTAATGAAATACACCCCTTCTGAATATCACAAGTCTAAACATTGGACTCAGATTCTTCTGAGAAGGGTGATAATTAAAGCAGCAGTCTCTCAGATCTGAGTTTTCAAGGAGGTGGGATTGGGGACATGTAACACCGATTAAAGGGGAAGGAAAAAAAAAATGACTGAGAAACCAGAATAGCAAAAACAAATAAAGAGAGTGGCCATTTGGCAGATTTCAGAGTTTCAAGTGAACAATGAGGGAGAAATAGTGGAAGTTGTGGGAAGGTAGAGAGGGTGGGATCCAGGACCTATGGAAGGCCTTCCAAGGAAGGAGTGGTAGTCCAAAGGGAGAGGAAGGGAGGGGTAAGGAAATAACTGTGAGATTTAAAAAAAAAAAAAAAGAAAAGAAAAGAAAGAAAGAAATAGCTGCAAAATTCAACCAGTGAGCAGCGATACCACTAGGCAAGAAACCATTGTGAATGGGGTAAGTTTGGGCAGTTGCTTATTTTGTTGGATTTAGCAGGAGTTGGGATGGAGTGGTGGTCTCCAAAGTACCGTGCCGACTTGGAGCCAATGAAGTGGTGTTTGCAGGTCAGAGAAGCACTCCAGTTCCCAGGCAGGGTTAATGTGGCAGCCCATAAACAAGGCCATGACATAGAGGAATGTTGCTGCTCTTCCAGCTGCTAAATTGGGGTCAGTCAGAAGCCAGGGTTGTGTTGTGTTGGCTGGGATGTCTAGAAACTTTCTTACTAGGTTATAAAAGTGATTTTGTCCAAAGCTTGCAAATGGCACACGATGAATCAGAGAAGCAGCAGTGCCCACCTGTGGGGATCATTTCAAAGCTGTCCACTGCACGATGCCATCCATTTTCTGACAGGGAAGCAGTGAATGGCTTTTGGAAGGATAGAGAGCCAAATCCCATTTCCACTGACGCTATACCTAACTTCTGGGGGTTTCCCTCATTAACAAGTCTGATGGTAAGCAGACTCCCTAAAGAATTTCAGACTGAAGGTTTTTATGGGTAGAACTGGTTTAAATTATTTGACCACTTAACCATAGCTCTGACTTGATGATCAGGCTGATAACCCTAGAAGTACAGGAGCAATTACTGGACATTCCTACCCTTGCCACCTATCCCAGCATGCTTTCGGATCGCCTCCTTTGTACATCCGGTTAAAGATATGGGGGAGGAGAATGGTTCCTTGTGTTTCTCAGCAGTGGAATTTTAGCTGGCTTGTTTCAACATGTGGAAGGGTTAATTAGGCAAATTATAATTGCTGCTGGGAGAGGCATTCTAGCTGAAGTCTGACAGTTCTCAGGGCTGCTGCGAAAAGAATCACTCTTACAATCTTTAATTGTGTTCCCCTCTTTCCCAAAGATGGGTTCTTAACATAACATTAAGACCAGTAGGGGCTGGAGTTGTGGCTCAGTGGTGGAGCACTTGCTAGCATGGTGTGTGAGGCACTGGATTCGATTCTCAGCACCTCATAAATATAAATAAAGTCCATTGACAACTAAGAAAAAAAAAAAACAATAGGATGATACATTGTACATTCCTGATTTGTGTGTGTTCTCTTTGTTCCTGTTTCTTAAAAATTCTCAGGCAACCTTTCCTTGAAAACATAATTGCACTGAATTTTTTTTTTTTCATAAAGGACTAAATTGGTTTTTGTCATTGTTTAGTTCATGGAATCATTCTGTCGTCTTAGGTGTTTTTGTAAATGAAGATGTGGACTGCGTCAGCTGTACTATAGTTCATCTTGGAGGAGGGACGGAGGGAGAACTGTTGTGTTTGGTGGAGGTGCTAGAACATCACAGAACCTACCTCTTTTTGACTAGTACTGTCTTTTGTCTTCCTTCCGTTGTTCTTTTTCATGGTATCATCTATCCCTATTTTGTGAAACAGTCAAATCTGTTTTCACTATATATCTTCTAGCATTTAGTTAGCCAGGTTTTTTGAAGTGTTGGATGCTGTTTTGTATTCCATGAATGAGTCAATTGACCAAGTGTAGGCAGCTACTAAACTGGCAGCTGGTTGCCATCAGCATGCCCTTGCACAGGAAGTGCTCAGTATAGATATGACTAACCAGTTTCCAGGCTTAAAAATAAAGTGGGGGATTTCTGGATAGAATCGGTCTTTGTCAGTCATTTTAACAGAGCTGATGAGTGTTGAAGTTCACAGCCAACCACATGCTTTTTTCTTATTTCCCAGGCCATCATTTCACCAGACTTTGTGTATTAATGCAGATTTAAACTTATTTCTGGTTTTGGTGTTTCGTTGGTCTTTTAAAATGAAATAAGAGGATATTTGAAGAGTTGTGAGAATTAGCTAGAGTCAGTATTCTCTCCTTGTTTCCTCTTTTGTTTTTAGCTCCTTTTAAGTCATCACCTCCTAAATTAGGTAATAAAAAATTAAGCTTGCTGGGAATGGTGGCGCATGCCTGTAATCCCAGCAACTCAGGAGGCTGAGGCAGAAGGATTGAAAGTAAGAGACCAGCCTCAGCAGTTAAGTAAAGCCTTAAGCAACTTAATGAGGCCTTGTCTCAAAATAAAAAATAAAAAAGGGCTGGGATGTAGCGCAGTAGTTAAGCACCCCTGGGTTTAATCTCCAGTAGCAGAAAAGAAAAAGAAAAAAAGTGGCTTACACAGTATGGCCGGCGACATTAGCTAGCGCTCGCTCTACTCTCTGTAACGGGAAAGCAGCGGACTACAAGAGACTGAACTGTATCTGCCTCTATTTCCAACAGACTCACATTCAACTTTCGCTCACACACACAAAGCCGGGAAAATTTTATTAATCCTTTTTTAAAAAAATTTAATATAAAATTATAGCAAAAAAAAAAGGAACCTGAACTTTAGTAACAGCTGAAACAATCCGCAGTGGCGGCGGCGGCGGCAGCGGCGGGAGAAGAGATTTAATTTAGTTGATTTTCTGTGGTTGTTGGTTGTTCGCAGTCTCACGGTGATGGAAGCTGCACATTTTTTCGAAGGGACCGAGAAGCTGCTGGAGGTTTGGTTCTCCCGGCAGCAACCCGACGCAAACCAAGGATCTGGGGATCTTCGCACTATCCCGAGATCTGAATGGGATATACTTTTGAAGGATGTGCAATGTTCAATCATAAGTGTGACAAAAACTGACAAGCAGGAAGCTTATGTACTCAGTGAGAGTAGCATGTTTGTCTCCAAGAGACATTTCATTTTGAAGACATGTGGTACCACCCTCTTGCTGAAAGCACTGGTTCCCCTGTTGAAGCTTGCTAGGGATTACAGTGGGTTTGACTCAATTCAAAGCTTCTTTTATTCTCGTAAGAATTTCATGAAGCCTTCTCATCAAGGATACCCACACCGGAATTTCCAGGAAGAAATAGAATTTCTTAATGCAAGTTTCCCAAATGGAGCAGCATATTGTATGGGACGTATGAATTCTGACTGTTGGTACTTGTATACTCTGGATTTCCCAGAGAGTCGGGTAATAAGTCAGCCAGATCAAACCCTGGAAATTTTGATGAGTGAGCTTGACCCAGCAGTTATGGACCAGTTCTACATGAAAGATGGTGTTACTGCAAAGGATGTCACTCGTGAGAGTGGAATTTGTGACCTGATACCAGGTTCTGTCATTGATGCCACACTGTTCAATCCTTGTGGGTATTCAATGAATGGAATGAAATCGGATGGAACTTATTGGACTATTCACATCACTCCAGAACCAGAATTTTCTTATGTTAGCTTTGAAACAAACTTAAGTCAGACCTCTTATGATGACCTGATCAGGAAAGTTGTGGAAGTCTTCAAGCCAGGAAAATTTGTGACCACCTTGTTTGTTAATCAGAGTTCTAAATGTCGCACAGTGCTGTCATCACCCCAGAAGATTGAAGGTTTTAAACGTCTTGATTGCCAGAGTACTATGTTCAATGATTACAATTTCGTTTTTACCAGTTTTGCCAAGAAGCAGCAACAACAGCAGAGTTGATTAAGGAAAATGAAGAAAAAACGCAAAAAGAGAACACACATAGAAGGTGGTGGCTGCTTTATAGATGATGATACTGGGGGCCATGCTTTCCATGACCACCACCTTGTAGTTGCAGAAAGCCCTAGATGTAATGATAATGATAGTGTAATCATTTTGAAGTGTATGCATTATTATATCAAGGAGTTAGATATCTTGCATGAATGCTCTCTTCTGTGTTTAGATATTCTATGCCACTCTTGCTGTGAAATTGAAGTGCATGTAGAAAAAAAACTTTTACTGTATGAAACTTTACAACACTTGTGAAAACAATTCAATTCGGTTTATGCACAGTGTAATATTTCTGCAGGTATCCTCCAAAATTCCCCACAGACAAGGCTTTCGTCCTCATTAGGTGTTGTGTTGGCCTCAGCCTAACCATCTGGGACTGTTCTATTATATTGCTGCCAGAATTTTACATCCAATTACCTCCACTTTCTAGAACATATTCTCTAGTAATGTTATTGAATCCAGTTTCTACTTCATACAGATGTTTTTTGCAACAGCAATTAAATTTTTCTTTCACAAGACAAGTCCTTAAAATGATTCCAGTTACTCATTTTGTGTATTTACTATTTTAATAATTGTTTCTGCATTTGTAGTCTTTTGATTTTTTTTTCCCTCAACCTGGTGTCTTCCCCTCCAGCCCCACAAATGAAGCAATAAACTTACACTGTGGGTTTATATACTAATCTTATATCCCAAGTGGGGAAAAGTCTCCGGGTTTAATTTTCTTTTAAGGGCATATTAATTTGGCCTCTTTTTTAATGGCATGGGCTCTTTTGGAAGGTAAGTGACAATATTAAATATTAATATTAAATATTTCTCACAAAAGAATTTTAAGCATCTCCAATATTGACTAGCAGTGAGGACATAGAGTTATAGATTTGGGTATGCTAACTAAACTGTACACCCCATGTTATGCTATGCTCTTTGATAAATGAGATTAGCTTCAAACAGTACCATGCCTTTCCTAACTTGCTAAGTAGTGATCTAAAAGGATTTTTATCACTAAGTAGATAAGTAGGGAGATTTAGTATATAGGTTGTCCTGGATTCATTAAATCCTGTCAGCTTGGATCATCCACTGTAAGTTTTACTTTTAGTAGTCATTGCCACTAATTTCCTATAATAGTGTATTATAAACTTTGGTTCAAAGCAGATCAGTGGTTTTCCATCTTAAGACTTAAAAGTTATGTGATTGATAACTTGTTCTGACTTCATCTGTTCCCTTAATATCTTCCTCCTTCCATGGTATTCAAAGATAAAATGAATAACTGCCCAGAATGAAAATTGTACATGTTATTCAGATATTCCCATGTGTAGCAGAATGTATGGATGGATTTTTTAAAATTAAAATTCTAAAAATATTCAGTGAGAAATGACAAGTAATACTGGCTTTCAAGAGTTGTGATCTTTTATCTATATTTGCAAATACTGTGGTATTTAAGCAACTGAGAACAGCAAAATTGACTGTTTTGTATTTCTTGAATTCAATATTTTCTTGATAATTTCTGGATTGATGCAGTGATGCTTTGTTCCTTCCATAGTTTTAAACGAAAAGCATTTTTTCAGTGTTTCTCAACAAAATCTGCTTGGTTTGAAATCAGGTGGTTAGAACACTGTTTTGACTTATATCTCAAGCATTCGGTTTCATTGAGGAAGCTTTCAATCAACTCGATCTGTTTGATTCCTAATGAGCACAGCACGTAATGTTTTGACTTGCTCTGTTGTGAGAACCTATACTCAAGGGTGGATTTTGTTTTGGAGCAGTATCAGTGGATTGGTAATGTTTGTTGGCTTTGAGGTCTGATTTTTATTTAAAAAAAATTTTTTTTCTTTCCCCATTTAATAGTCTTAAGACTTCTAATGTTGAAAACTTGGCACAAATTTGTGTGGAACAAAGCCTATAAAAATGAAAACTGTAGATTGAATAGGATCTATCCTAGTGTGATAGAAGAGGGAAAATTTTGGTGCCATATTTCTCTCTTCATTAGTGTTGACTTAAATCAGTTGAAATGTATTTCTGTATCACAATTTAAGCTTCAATAAAAGTTTGCTTACTTAAAAAAAAAAAAGAAAAAGAAAAAAAGAAAGAATCTTTACTTCTTTATGGAGCAGTTTATACAGAGAAGAGAGCATGTACCTGGGCAGCTATGTACACACTATGATTTGTCTTTTTGAATCTAAGGCCCACCCACAGTAGCATTTTTTTCCCTAAAACATTTTCTCTTGTCAGGTAGCCCTGTAGCAGCAGCTCAGGAAGAAATCATACTATTTTGGCAGAAACTAAAAGGTTTTTTGTTTTGTTTGTTTTTTATTACCTTGTAACCTTCAGTTATTGTTTCTGAACTTTAAAAGTAACTTCATATTTTATTTTTTTATTGCTGTCTCCCTCAATAATGTAATTTTCCCTCCATCAATTTAAAAAAAGTCTGTCCTTGTTAATATATTTTCTAAGCTTTTTTTTTTTTTTTTTTTTTTTTTTTGGTAGGATATAAGAAGTGTTGACTCCACATGTTGTGGAAATGCTTAATTAGATGCAGCATTTATTACAGGCTGTCTTTAACAAGTATTTCTCTTTTTTGAATTCTTAACTCTGGGCAAGTATTAGGCTCTGAGCTTCTATTTGCTTTTCAAATAAGAAATTACTGGGGAAAGATTATTTGAAATACAAAATACACTTGCAAATGTTTTTATTTTGGATTAGGGGGAAGTCAGTAATGATTCTTTGAGACATTTTTAGGGTCCCAACTAGGCTTCATTTACCAAATTTAGAAATAGATTTCAAGTATATAAAGAATGAGGCAAAGGGCAGGACATGGCTGGAATTGAAATGCTTATCCCTGAGCCCTTACTTTTGACTTTTCTTTTTTCTTGACTGAGGCAGGATAGAGTAGCCCTGCTTTGCTTTGGATAAAGCTTCATTAAAAAGCCAGCTTCTAAGGCTCAGCAGTACAGCTCTTGCCTACCATGAGTGAGCACCACATAAAGGTAAATAAATAAAAATAAAGGTATTAAAAAAAAAAGCTGGCCTTTAAAAAATATAGGAGGAATCTGAAAAGAATAGAACCCTTTCAGTGGAAAAGGGAATTATTTACACAAGCCAAAATTTCATTGAATAGAATGATTGCTTGCTCTGAAATATCAATTTCCTTTAGTTGTATAGTGATCAAGACTCTTGAACCTTGAATGGCTGACAAGACTTTTCTAACTTATGATGAAAGGCATATTGTAGGTAGAAAAATGTTTGATAACTGATGAAGTGTGAGGGTAGGCATATGGTCCAGAATGTAACATATTTTGCAGAATCCAAACCTCTGCAGTTTTCATGTGATTCGTGGATCATCCAAACATTGATACTTATTTTGCCTGTGGTCTTATTGTCTGGTTTTTAGTTACAGAAGGGTATTGTACTCAATAGGTAGTTGTACCATCCACTGTGCCAGAGGTAAGTTGAAATTACAATGGATATTCTGAATACATTGTGCATATAGCTCTTCTTCCTGACTTCCTTTGAGTGACATTCCGTCTGCTAATCTGGGTGGTGGGTCGTAGAGTTCAGGCCTTAGCAGGTCTTAACCAGGCCTGGTGGTCTAGGCTGATGGAGGGCTGTGACTGAGTAACTTCTTACTCCATTAAAAAGTGGTGGAAAGTGAAAAATGAAATGAGTTGCCTTTCATATTAGAGTCAGACACACCTTCTTATTGAAAAACTTCTAGTACATCTTGTGGCAGCACTGGAAAAAGGAGTGTTTTAGACAACTCGTTAGTTGGAAGTTTCTGCTTTTTTTTTTTTTTTTTGTACCAGGGATTGAACCGAGGGTGCTTAACTACTGAGCCACATCGTATTTTTCATATATATATATATATATATATATATATATATATATATATACACACACACACACACACACACACATATATATATGTATAATTTTGAGTTAGGGTCTCAATGAATTGCTCAGGACCTTGCCTTCCCCCCTCCTCCTCCTTCTCCTCCTCCTCCTCCTCCTCCTCCTCTTCCTTCTCTTCTTCTGCCTTTTTTTAAAAATATTTTTTTGTTTGTTTTGCCACAATAGCTAGCATCTCTCTGTTTCAATTTATTGGGATTGCATAACTCCGAAGTTATTCCTGTGTTAAATTAGTCCAGAAAAGCTTATTACTAGTTAAGTCTAATTTCAAATAAAAAGTAAGTTTTAGGAGAAAGATTGGATAAGAGCAAGGTGTTACTTGACAGGAAGGCACAGAAACAATGCATGAATCTAGTCATAAAACTCTGAGCCAAGTACCGGAGGTTTTCAAACCCTATTTTAGTACTTTTAGTAACTAAAATCCTGGCTTTTCTTTCAAGTTTGCATACAGAAGATGAAAAGTGGCCTTTATCAGACTTTGCCAGTAAATTAAAGGACTCACCCTTTCTAACCATGTACATACATACCTTGAAGTTCTGTCAGATAAAAAGCTCCTGGTTAAAATGATCTGAATTATGCCTGGAAAGAAGAACTTGCCAGAGCTCTGGCCCTCCCTAGGCTTGGGCTCAGAGACAAAGGAATAGCTGTCACTAAGACCTGTACTGACCCAGCCAACCCCAGCCTGCAGTCACAGAGCCAAGCATCTTCTCAGCTACCCGTAATGATTTTTTAAAAATACATAAAAATGTTACAGCTTCTCTACCATTCATCAGAATTTAGTGAGCTATAAATCAGCAAGAAAGGCCTACCCAGAGCCCGACTCTTTTTTGCTTTATTAGATGCCATTAAAACCTAGGAAAGGGGAGATTATTAAACCCAGAATTTTAGTCTAAGGATTCTGTAGCTTCCTTTTTTGCCTATATCTAAAATTGCTCTATTTTGTGATAATGTAAGCTTAATGAAAGAAAAGTAGTTTATTTCATCGATGCTAGACACTTGCTCTTCAAGGATTAAATTTCTTTTTGATATTAGCCAAAGTCTGTAGACATCTGTTTAAACACAGGTTTCTAAATTTTGGAGAGGCAATGAGATGTATGGTTTTATTTTATTTGGTAGTGAAAAGAAGATTTTGTTTTGATTGATTAACAAGGATAATGTGGCATAATTCATTTTGTGTGTTGGCTGTAGAATGTGCCCTGCGATGGAATGTGGGTGCAGTTCTGGCATTTTTGTGTTTGTATATTTCAAGGAAATAAAGGTACAGAGAGGCACTTGTTCATTGCCTATATAAAGACTAACTGTACAGCTGACAGTTTAAAAATACTGTACAAGACCACATTCCATGCCCAACAGTAGCATCTGTCTCCTTCATTCCAAGATCAACAAAAGGCGTTAAAGACAGATGCCGAAACGTGAGCAGAAAAGCCCCTCTGATCCGGCAAATCACCGACCCCCTCACCATCCTTCTCCAAACAGGGGTTGAGTGAATGGTGCAAACTGAAAATTAACCGGACGATAACTCACAGGGAAATGGTTCAGGTAGGATAGATTTACTTTTCAGTTTTAGAAACGGACTCAAATTATATATTCAAAAGGTTTGATTTTCCCCAAGCATGTATGTACTCTTTATAATATACATAGCCTCACATCTTGGAGATAAGTTCAATGTCTTTTTTCTAAGATATTGCTATGGTTTGAATATGCTTTACCTTCCAAAAGTTCTTGCACTCAACAACGCTTGGTCCCTAATGTATTAGGATTGAGAGGAGATAAAACCTTTAAGAGGGGGTTCCTGGTGCGAGGAAATTGGGTTATGGGGGCACTACCCTCAGAGGATTTGCCCATCTCCTGGTAGTGGTTAGGTCTCCTGGGACTGGACTGGTTATCAGAAGAGCAGGTCGTGATAAAGCAAGGCACATGTGTCGTGCCTCCCTTGCCATTCTCTTTTGTGCTCCTGCCACGTGTCACCATCCATTGTGATGCAGTATGAAGTCCTTAGCAGATACAGTTGCTTGACCTAGCCTCTGGAACTGTAAGACAAAATAAACCTTATTTCTTTATAAGAGTACCAACCTCAGGCATTTTTATAGCAACACAAAATAGAAAAAGATATTTTCTGCCTTTTGCAGCAATGAGGATATTAGGAATAACATGAAGAAAATTTCAACCAAGCATGTTTTCTTTCTGTATAGAAACAATGTTTTTTTTTAGTTGTAGATGAACACGATACCTTTATTTATTTCTTTATTTATTTAGGTGGTGCTGGGGATTGAACCCAGTGTCTCATGCATACTAGGCACGCACTCTACCACTGAGCCACAACCCCAGCCCTAGAAAAAATGTTTTAATTAGAGATTCTGTTATTTATCAAGAACTTACTGTCAAATAATTGTTAGATGTGATAAAAATATTTCCCAAGTATGAAGATATGATCATAAACCTTGTGAATCGTTTAATTCAGTAAAAAGTATATTTCTAG